GCTCTCATTGTGGCACTCCTGGATGACAGGGCCAGATGCCCGCACGCCTTCAATTCACTGCTGATTCACTGCTGATTCACTGCTGAGCTGAAGATCTAGCATTGCAGGAATTGATTTGATACGTGAGAAGTGGGGGTGGGGGGGGTGGGGGCAGAACTGTGCTGCGGTTTGTCTGGCTGTCCATTTTTCAGCTGGTAAAGTAAAACAGAAACAGAGAATGGCCTCAGCCTGTGAATCAGTTCTGACAGAGGACACAGGAGAGAACAAGCAGCAGATGATGGAAGATTATTGGTGACTTTGCAGCTTTGCTTCCTTCACGGTGTCCTTTCTCGACAGACATTTAACTTTTGCACTCCTCTGTCAAGTCATCCTGTGCTTATCTCACCATCTACGCCTCATAGACATTTTGTCCAGTGCCACTGTGCTTGTTAATGTCGCATAATTCTCTTAAAGCTCAGACCGCGTGAACTGCAACGCCAGGGCGCTGTCGTCTGCTGGACAAGCCATCCTGACCACAGCGCCGCACGGACCTGGTGACACATTCCTTCAGGGTAATGGACTGATTGTAGAGGACCTCCACGTGGAACGGAAGGACTCCTGATACTCTACAGACGCTTAATTGCTCCTTTTCGCTGACTCATTTGGTGCATATTTAAAAAAATGTGCAAGTATCAACAAGACATGATTACAGTTCAGTCACATGCCAGAATGGATACATGTGCTTCAACTGTTTTCTTTTTAACGAACCGATGCCTTACTGCTGTTTGTCATTCATTCTTCTGGGTCATCCATTTCACCATCAAGAAATGTCATGGAAACAGATGCTTACAAGGCATTTAGGTTAAATATTTGTCCAGAACCAAAAAGTGTGACTAAAGATGCTGTCTAATTTTATTTTAAAAGTGCTGTTAACTACTGAGGCACTTGAGACAGGGTCCCAGTCTGACGTCTTAGCTGAGGTTTTTTCATAGTTCACTTTTGCTGAAGCACTGCAGATTCTGACAAGGACCTGGACCTAAGCTTAAATGCTATAATCGGTTGGATATTCTGCAGCTGATCAGCACATAAATGGCAGTTTTCCATTGGCGTACAGGAACCGATCCATATCCGAGCCGTACTGTGAAGAGACTATTACAGCACGGTTTGGTTCGGTTTTCCACTGCAGAAGGGTCAACTCAGGGATTGGAGAGCGACAGTGACGTAAAACCGACGAGGCACTTATTTACTAATCAAATGGTGTACATCATGATGTACTGTGTGCTAATTTCCTGTGAGAATCAGTGTGTCATGTTAGCATCAAACGCTAGTGGAATTAGCATTCGCTTGTGTAAATTTGCATTATGAATCCGTTCCATTCAGCTGTTGTATAGTACTTTTTTAAGAAGGAGTTTGGAAATTTTCAAGTTCTAAATTTCTGGAATGGACTGGTACGTGTGCGATACTACTAATAATGAATATATATCTACAGGTAATCCATGCGCAGAACACCGGTATCTCCATGCATTTCAACCCGTCAGATGGTGGTGACGGAATCAGCCCGATTCGGTCACGTGTCAGAACGGTACGTTACAGCTTGGGTATCGCTCGGGTGCGGCTCGGTTCTCGGTGGCAGTGGAAAGAAAGCCGATGCATAACAGCTGAAAAAATTCAGACATGAATGTTTGATGTGTGGTAAAAATACAAAACATGCTACTGGGAAGGTTTAAAAGAATCCTGTCTGAAAATTAATGCATTTTTTTTTCCTTTCTCAAAATTGTTTAAAATAGCAATATCATGTCTCATTTTCAGCTCAGCTAACCAGCTGAGTACTCTGTGACTGTGACTCTTAATACTCATCTGGTTGGGTTTCCACTCCAAACTAGCCACCTCTGGCTGCAGTCCATGGCCATGCAAATGCAAAGAGGGCATGCATCCATGTACTCATTCCCATAAAGTTCCTGTTGCAGTAATGTTGTTGTCCAATTACAGCAGCATCTAAATGTTCTATGTAACTAGCATGAATGTGTACTGACAGTGATAAGACTGACGGTGTAAACCTGTAGAGAATGTATGTAGATCATCGACATGGTGATTTCTTGGGGGTTTTCTCTTGCCGCTCTCCTCTGGTTTACTTTCTGGCGGTATTGGACGGGGAGAATGTAAAGCGCTTTGAGCCAATGTAATGTTGTGAAAATGCGCTAGACAAACATGAATTGGACAGAATTCAATTAGAGCAAAGTTCAAATGAGAAAAAAGTGTGCAGTGCTGGGTGGGTTGGAACTGATGGCAACCTCAAGAAAACTCAACATTACTGACTCGTAATATTGAAACCGGAGACAATTTCTGCTACTGTTATTACTGCTTCTCCAATTCGTATTGATGATGCAGATGAGGATATCAATAAAGTTCACATCTTGAAATGTATTTCACTTTTTTCCTCTTGTATTGGACTCTATAGAGCTGTAGTTGGACTTGTCAGGATAAAATAACAGATAAAATTCAGAACAGCTATGACTCGGGCCGGCGAGCAGCCATATTGACCCTGATCATTTCAACATTACACTGTCTTCAGCCATATTACTGACACTCCACCAATTTCTTAATCATCCCAGGGGATCAATGTGTGGCCTTTAATGAAAAGAACAGGGGTACATCTCCCAAAAGCATAGTTGCTAACAATGTTAACAACAACGTTAGCGACTTACGTAGTTACGTATTTAGAACTATGCAGCTGAACGGTCCTAATGGGAGCTTTTGGGAAACATACCCCAAAAAATGGCCGGCATGAGCAATGCCTCCAGGGTGGGGGAAGGTTGGAGTACATTCTTTCCCTGGAATGACACCCTGATCACTAACTTTTCAGTTAAAGTGTCATTTAGCGTCTGTGACCTTTCATGGGTGAAGGGCAGTTTTATAGAGTGAAGTGCTGATGTACGCATGATCCTACAAACCATATTCTGCCAGCTCTCATACAATAATATTTTGGGAAAAAAAAGTAAAAAGACAACAATTTAGTAACACTCAATTTATATAACATGCAGTTCTCTTCAATCACAACCACGGACTGAACAAAATAATCACATAGCGCCATCTACTGGTGATCATAGTAATTTAGTTACTCAAAAATACCGATTAAACTGAATCAGACTGGAGACAATGAAAATGAACATTTCCCTAAATAAATGTTTGTGAAACCTACTAAATAAAATGTCACTCCACTAGTCCAGTTCCATCCTACTGTAATCTGGTGTTTAAGGACGTATCAGTGAATGCATAATTCTGACTTGATTTGCCATGGTGGGTCCTGTGTGTTCTGTCTGCTTTTGTTGTTTTATTTAAGGGGAAATCTTGGTTATTAAATTCAATGTTCAATACAACCACATTTCAAAATAAAAGTACCACTGGAAGGAAAAAGGAATTTTGAAACTCTTTCCTTCTCAAAAAACAAACAAAACAAAAAAAAAATGCAATTAGAACCCAAATCCAATTTGTGATACAATTACCCTCGCATTCAATAGATATCAGACCCATAAACACTCGTGAAGCCTGTAGATAATTTGCAAAATGTAATCAGTGAGCTCATATCCTGTGTTTTCTATGGTCATGGCATGTTGAGTATCCTATTGTGCTAGAACCACAGCACTTAGACATGGGTAAGCCAACACATAGTGCATCAGTCTAACCACTTATTCTGCTTGGGGCCGAGTGGGGGGGGGGGGGGGGGGGGGGGGAGAGGGGGGGGGGCTGGATGCAATCCCAGGCAGCACAGGGCATAAGGCTGAAACACACGCACCCCTTGCACTCCTTGCTCTTTCATGAGCCTCTCTAGGGTGTCCTAACCCAGCATGATCGTGGTAGGCCAATGTGATAGGCTGATGTTGGTTATATCCTATTTGCGATTGAATTTCATTGTGCTTAATTTAAACTGCACAATGACAATGAAGTTATTCTATTCTATTCTATCATATAAAATGAAGTTTCCAGAGGAAATTTGCATAATATGAGGAGAATATATAAACACACAGGCAGCACTCAAACCCTTATTCCAGGAGTTGTGAGACAGACAACTCCACTGTCCACTATGCCACAGTAAAACATATAATTACCCTCTTTATTAAGTCGTCCAGCAGATGAATACATTATTTTGTTTGCGCCTGTCATACAGCAGAGAGTGTTGTATTACTATCTACAGCTATTCATCATCGTGAACTATGTTGTGTTCCGAAGCATTGCAGGGAGCTTTGAATCCCATGCTACTCTGAGACGTCTGCTAGACTCTTTCTCTTTAGGTTGTCACAAAACCCCTCCCTTCCACTGACCTATCAATTCAAACTTCCTTCTTTTGCCTCTTCCTCCCAGCCAATCTCCTTGGGCTGCCCAGCACATGGGTGTGATGATGCTGATTCTGGCTCGTGGGAGTTTTACTTACACAAAAATGTTCTGAGGGCAGAACAAAAAATGATTTGACTAATATTCTGATACTTGCGCTTGTGATGCCCATTGTACATTTCCATATGGTGTTGTTAGTGGGGAAATGAGAACTATTATGAATTGTTAATCTATAAAAGGGTCACATTTTAATTATTCATGTGTAGGTAACTAGCATTGTGAGTGGGTTCAATAAGCTATATGAAATCAGTATGTGTGATGAGAGACTACTGCAATTTGTGAATTTCTTAAAGTGTCATGTTTGAATGTTTTTGACCCCGTTACCAAGTTAATTATATGTAGCAGAAAAGACGTTACTTATTTAGCCTTTGTCCTGACTTTGAAAATCGTAAACACATGCATGGAAAAAAGTTACAAAAAAGCAAAAACCGCTGAGCTAAGCTGAAAGTGTAATTTGGGTAGATTATCAAAATTTTCACTCAGATATGGGGGCAGCTGGAAAGTAACCATCATTTATTTTTTTATGCTCCTAGTGTTCGGTTTGGCGTGTTGGTGATGCTGAATGAGAGAGATTCCCAACAGAAGACACGACTAAAATGTTATTTTTCGCTTCATACACAAAAAGTCATGTCTCACACAGAAGAAATATTTATTGTCATTCATTGTCATCACATCCACATGCAAACAAGTGCTCTAAGGAACACCAGTAATACATTTATTTTAAAAACAGTAAAAAAGCACTTCTAAAAATGATGCTGATTGATTATTTTTCAATAGTAACCCAAACTGTGGTTAGCAGAGAAGCAAACACTGTGATTGTGAGTGACGTCGATGGGTTAGCTGGTTTTCTCTAGATGTTTTCTCTTTACTTTCCAAACAATGGTTACCCAAGTTAACGCCCACCTGCCCAAATGAGCCTCAGTCAACTACTTTCAACTGCAAAAGTTTGATCTAATGTCCATTAAATCATCTATCTGCTGCTTATCTCGTCAACAGTGCTATAGTAAACTGACCTGCACACAGATAAGAATTAGGAAATTTACATAGACTGATTCAGTCCTGTGCTGCACTTAGTAGGCCTTTGTCATCCATACTGCCATTCTTTATAAAAAATCATGTACACAGTCAAACAACACCTGCGAGTGTCAGTTAGCTGGAAAAAAACTCTAAGCTTTTTCTGTCTTTCCTTAACTGCGTAATTTCGATATTAGATAAAGTGTTCAGTGAGGTTTTTAAGTAAACAATTTTGTCAGACGCATGTGCGTACGAGCAAACTGGCATCAGCAGGGACTTCACAGGAAGTGCCACCATTTCAGAACGAACACTACTGAGGCAAGCAGTCCAGGCCCAACTTAACTTAAAGCCTGATCCTTTTCCCAGGTAATAAATCCAAAAGCTCAGTGGAAATATAGAAAAAAGAACCCTAACTGCAAAAGGCTTGGTACACAAACCAATAAACACTCCCAGTATAATGGTGTTAATGTGTTCACATCTGAGCACATTAACTAGTTTGTGAATGCAGATTATATAGTAAACCAGAAACACAACACGAATACCTGGCTATCAGCACTATGGTTATAATTTAGGATTAATATTATTCTGTTGGAAAAAACACTGAATTTTTTTCAGGCTATTAATCTGACAACTAAGGAAACATTTTAATTATTATTAAAGATATGAATGTATATGATTGGACATTTCTATTTAGTGGTGAAAATACTGTAACATACCCATTCAATTCAGTGTAAATCAGTGGAGAAAATGTTTAGACCAGGTGACAGAGAGACGAAGACTTCATAGAAGTGAAGAGCTCAATATGTGGTGCTCTAACTGAATGGATGTCCAGACACAGGTGAGGCCAAGTATGATGGACAAGAGTAAGTTACCATGGCAACAGATTAATTAGGTTTTTCAAGTGAAATGAGTTCTAATAGGTTAAAAATTCATCCAAGGATTTCTCCAGCCTGGGACTGTGTTATGATGGATGTTAGCCAACCCTCAAACAAGGGTCACTGGTGCCTACTTGTTCGGCCAAGAATAGGGTTTGACTCTGATGGGGAAACGTGCTCTCCTTCTTCTATGGTGAACTCTGACGCCTGATACTTCTGGAACATCACCACCATGAAGATAAGCATCCAGAAGAAGAAGTTCACCCACACTGCCCCCTAGTGGAGACAAAAAGAAACAACAGGTGGGCTACAGGTGGGTAGGAGAAGGGGGGAAAGTGAGTGGCAACATGAGGTTAAAAAACTGAAAAAGTTAAGTAAACATTTTATGTTACCATCACCATATAATTTTTTTTCCCTAAAAGCAAAATTTAAAAGGAGGCCTGCTGGTAAATCACACTGGATTTTTTCACCATTATTAATTTGCACGTTGAGAATGCTGGACAGCACAAACCTCGGCACTGTGCAGGCCGGAGTAGAACCGCTCGCCATGGTACGGGCTGATCCACCTCTTAGTCTGAGCGTCCTCACAACTGCAACACACATACGCTCACATCATCATGAACACTTTCTGCGCAACAACAATGCTCACAAACATCTTCCTTACACAGTGCTTTCCAAAAACCGCCCTGGGAGCAATAAGGCACTTTAACAAATGAACCTAAATGCCAGAAGCACTGTAAAATAATGGAAAATGCAAAGTTAATGACAGCAATGTGCCCACAGTGCTTTGTATAAATAATTAAAAATCATTTTGGATTTGCATGCCTCGTAATACAGGTTAGTTACAAAACATTACTGTAATCCATCCACCCAGCCATAAAAATCAATCAATCAGCTTTGATCTTCTTTGATCACAAGGAATTTTCCAGTAGAGAACAGAGATATCCTGTTTATTACATTATATTTATCTAACACGGCCTGAGAGTGAGGTCACTGATTTGAATAGCCCTGCTGTAGCCCATGGCTGCTGGGCTATCCTGCTACTCACCTTTTTATTGTGGTATTGCGCAGTATGGAGTCACAGAGACGGTCTCTCCCAATCTTCAGGATGCACCCAGACACTAGGAGGAAGAAGAGAAAAATCCCACACACCACGAGACTCACATTCATCCAGACACGCGCCCTGGAGAGAGACAGAGGGCAACACAACACAAGTATCGGTTAATGTCAAAAATCACCACAAGTTATCATGCTTACTTTTGTTATATAACTGCCTCATCTTGAAATATTTAAGCACTTTAAGATGTTACTTTAAAACTGAGGAGACAGATGGGGCTGTCTGTGCGTCTAGGCCACTGTAGTCACAGAATCACAGCCATTCATGAGCATGTTAAGACTCGCCAATTAACATTCCTATACCATATATAGAGTTGGATAGAACTATTACAAAACAGACACTTAAAGGGAAATTACTTAATAACAAAGGTAAATGTGAATCTTAAACCGTGGGGTACAAATAAATACCTCACAAATACTTCTTATTACTGTCTACAGAAAACAACAGTAAATACAATGACCCCCCCCCCCCATGATTACTGTGGGAAAATGGTGAGCAGGTCCTCTCACCTGCTGACTTCCTCGCCCATACAGCAGGTGTAGATCCAGTACAGGGTAAGAGAGAAGCAGTAGACCCCCATGAACACAGAAATGACGGTGACGAAGAAGCAGAGGGAGGTGGGGCTGGAGCTGTCCACCCCGAGGGACTGGGCCGTGGCGTTATAGCTGACTGTGCCATAGAGCATGCAGCGCCCGGCAAACTCCCCCTGCAACACAGACTGGAGTGAGCATTACCGCAGGCTGATGGTCAAGTGGTCAAGTCGAAAGGTCAAGACAGTTGCTGTAAAAATTTGGATGACTTATGGGAGGTTTTCTAATGACTAATCTGACCCACTTTGACAGATATGACATCATGGATTTATACCAACATGAAGATCACTTAAACATCATTTCCTTGACTGTCTAAGACCTTTGCCCGGTACTGTGTATCCTGGAGGAAGGCAAACTCACTTTCGGTGATTTTAAGCCATAGATGCAGACACTCATGTTGAGCCATTTCAGTGGCTGTAGGTAGAAGAGACACTGCTGTACCTTCTTCATTGTGTCAGCTGTTATAATTATTATTATTCATTAGTGCCTTGCATAGAGCAGACGAATGTCCACTGAGTTACCATCCCAGCCCTGAGAAATGATGTTCATGGAACAGCAGAGCTCTGCAGTTGTACCTCTAAGCAGGAGTCTTAATCTGAATAAGTAACTGATGAAAAATAGCTAACATTATGTGTAGGTGATGTGTAAATAACTGTGTGTATCAGGAATGTGTGTGTGTGTGTGTAGGGGGGGGGGGGGGGGGGGGTTGCCTGTGCACCTGCCCCTTTTGCCCAAACGATTGTAATAACTGACAAAGAAAATCTAGTGATAGGGACCCCCCCCCAGGCCGGATTTACCAAGGGGGCCCCTGTTCAAGCACCTGCTGTCTGTGCACGTCAATGGAGTATACAGTACTTACAGATGTATATGTATACATACAGAGCAGATTAAGACTCCTGCTTAAAAGTACAACTGCAGAGCTATGCTGTTCCATGAACATCATTTCTCAGGGCTGGGATGGTAGCTCAGTGGACAAGGCTGGGAATTTTATGTATTTCCTCCTGCAGTCCAAAAACATGCAATTGGTGGTGAACTGCCAACTCTAAAGTTCTCAGAATGTGTGCCCTAAAAAAGACCAACGTCCGATCCAGGGGTTTCCCCTGCTGTGTGCCCTATGCTGACTGAAATCAACTCCAGCGACTACACTAATGGGGAAGGAGTCGCTAGCAGATCACATGACCGAAAATCGCAAAAGCAAATTTAAACTCACGGAAGTCAACGATTTTTTCTTTCTTTAACAAAAGAAGTTATGGTTTTTAGTTTTATTCTATAAATATATACATTTGGAAATCCGTGCATTTCTCACACCCTTGCAAACTGCTGACGTTTAAACACACGAGCTCAGTGGATTTACGGATCTTTGAGTGTAAAATGCGGGCGAGAATCTCATTTCGACACAAGCAGGAAATCCCCCCCCCCCCACTTTAATGGTGGTAATCATATGACCACTCAGTTTGATTTACGCCACTAAAATAGTGTGAAATTCGGAATGCAGTGTAGGTGGCAAAAAAGTGATCAAGCACCATAATGCTGTCATCCAGCTGTATATCCGAATAAAACGCGATGCAAATGACAAGAGTCAGTTCGACAAAATGAAACCACAGAAATTGAGAAAACGTGTTCAGCTGTTATTTTCCCGAGTCGATAAGTATGTTTCAGATTATTCCTATAGCTATATGACATTAACTGTAAAAGAGTGAAAGTATTGCGTGCATTGCCTTAGGACTACACTAACTTTGGCTTTAAAGTACTGCGCACACTGATATGTGCTTCTGATCACAAGGCGACGCTAATGACTAACGGGAAGGCTGGGGTTTAACGCGAAAAAATGATGTACATCCATACATTTAAATATATGCATGCACATGAAGTTGTTCACTTGAAACGCAAAGACCAAGGACTGGAATAAAGATCAAGTTCTATTCACAAGGGTATTGCTTGTATGAAGCATATTTAATTAATATGACAGCATGGATGCCAGACGACAAAAGGCCAAAGAGTACAGACTAAAACTTTTAAATTTGGTTTTACCTGTACGATAATAAGCGAAGCTGCAGTGACGATCCCGCAGATGAAGCAGCTGGCATAAAGCAGCAGCTCCAGAATGACCAGCCTCGGTAGCGCCATCTCATTCTCCTCTGACATGTACGCGCGCGCCCGAAAACAGCCGGCGGCGCGCATCCTGCGAAAGGAGCAGCGGGCCATGCAATAAATGGATTACCTCCCGTGTTATTTACCGCCTTGGTACGGGGGAAGAGTTTGAGTTTTGCGGTATTTAAAATTCTTCGAGAGGATAAAAACATTTTCGAAGGGATTTTATGTGTTCATGAATGCAAGAATGGTTACCCTCCTGAGATTTTATAACTTTTTATTGTTCATATTGTTGCAATGTCAACTCGGTGAAACATACTTGAAACATGCAGAAGCGCTCAATACAGACAAACACTTTACTGTGCAGAACTGCCAGAGAATACCAGCAGCGGCCTGGAAAGGGGAAGTCACCGCTCACCAGTACACACATCTAGCACTCACTAGGAGGCATTCAAGGGCCATGCCCACCAGCCGTTGTGGCCCCCCAGCGTCACCCACTAGGGACACGTCATTTATTTCACGCTACCACCCTTTCAGCCCAGCCTGGGACAGCATGTCGCTGAGCCCCTGATTGCTGGTGTCGGTGTCAAGCATGAAAGGCAGTGTGTGATCGGGGTTTTTCTAAGCGCAGTGCAGTCTCCGGTCCACTGGAAGGCCCAGCCCTTCTCAGTGAGGCGGCGGAGTGCTTTGGTGGTGAAGTTCATCGACAGAATCAGCAGAGTGGATGAAAAGGTCATCGAGGTAGATGGCACTGGCAGCGGGGCACGGTGGCCTGGACTCACTCCGTCACCCCCTCCAAGGCAGCTGGGGCGTCAGAGAGCCCGGATGGCATCAACTGGCAGTGCCATAAACTGCGACCGATGGTGAATGCGATCTTAGGTTGGGCATCCGGAGCAGTTCGACATGCCAGTATCTACTTCGGAGGTGTGAGGAGCTAAACCACGTCTACCCAGTGATGTCATCTTCTGCTCCACTGACTGACACTTTGCAAGTGCCAGCCAATGAGGTCACAGCTAGATGAGCAGGGCATCGCCGATATCGATGCGGTGCTGGACGAGCACAGTTGGGCAGCACTTATCATCAGGGACGGATTATGGGTTGTGTGGGCCCCTGGGCAAAACGTTCGCGAGGGCCCCCCCCACCACCACCACCACCAGCAACACCACCACAACCACCACAATTCAAGGACCCTTGGCAGCCAAACGCCCTCCCTCCATGTTTCCATCAGAGGCCCTATAGGGTCAGGGGCCCTTGTAGGCAGAGGATCAAAGAATGTAGGCCCTCTAAAATAGAAAAACGAAAATACATTGTTGATAAGCGTTGCAAATTGTTTTGGGCTAGGGGCCCCACGGGCCCCCTGCACCCCAAGGGCCCCTGGGCAGCGGCCCCGCTGGCCCGGTCCGTAATCCGTCCCTGCTTATCATCCCTGAGCAGTGAAGATGTGCAATTGCCAATCCAGCAAAGTCCTCAATCAGCATTGCTGCTCAGCTATCAAGCCTATGCTGATCCATTGCCACTGCTCATTGACTGCCTGTGCTGTTTCTGGGAGGGTCTTGCTGCTGCCCTTGCACTGCACTGGGAGACTTGGCTGTGCATCAGTGTCGGCCGGAGCAGTTGGGGCTCCTTACACCATAGTTTGCTGAGAGAGGGGCATCATACCCTCACTGAGCTGGAACTGGCTGCAGGCACGTTGGTGTTTGCACAAGGAGTCCAGCACGCTAATACCAGCATCCCTCATGGCGGCCCGCCACACCCCCTGCTCCGTTCGCCCCACCAGCATGATGTGGAGCTGCCACTTCCCTTTCATTGACAGATGTGAGCTACACTCAGGTCACATCCCACCGAGGGGGGGCCAGCTGGTTGGTGTCTGGGAGGACACCTGGGCAGATGAGGGTGATGGTGGGCCACATGTCCTCCAGGGCTCGGCAGCGGGTGCCCTCCACAATGCAGCACACATACAGCCCACAGCCATGACCCAGCCAGACTGATGAGGAAGGGGTGAGCGCCCATTGGTGCACCGCTGTCAGCTCTTCGCTCCCTGTGTTGTGCCAGGTTTGCAAACACACTTAGCAGAGTAAAACTACAGGAGCTCTTTCCAGCTGTAACACAAGGGCTGGGACATGCGCTGCTGCGGAGGCAACTTGCTCTTCCAGGTAGTGTGGCATGGTGGGGTGGGGGGGGGCTGCACTAGACCTATCAGTTTGGCCCTGGAGTCTGGGGTCTCCGGTTTACCACTGCCCCTCCCATAGCTTATGGATGAGATTGTTGATTTCTTTGGCAACCTGGCATCCCACTTCTGACACCATGCAGTGCTGCAATGTCAGCTCAGTCAGACATGCTTAAAAAACACAGAGAAGCACTGAAGACACACAAACACTTTATTGTGCACAACGGCCTGAAGATACTAGCAGTGGCACGGACAGGAGAAGCCACCATTTCACACATCAAACACCATTGGGGGGGGGGGGGGATGGGGGGGGGGGGGGGGGGGGATGACAGACACACCACAGTAGGGAGGTACTGTATTAGGCACGAGAACGTGACACACTTAAGTTCTTTGATGTAATTACACATTACAGACATTATATACATGAGTATTCACACTATCTACAACTGATGCAATGCATGCCGATCTGTGAATATAATAGCTCCTGCCAGCACTGCGGCATGACAGTATATCAAAGCAGGAAATGCTGTGGTAGCGTTTCGTGTCTCACTACAGTGAATGTTTTCTATGTTATAAATACAGAAAATTTACTGTGGTATCAACAGAATGTTGCAATTCGGTGCGTAGTAAAAATCCGCAGGGGATACTGGTCGGGTAGTAACCAATGAGTAAGAGTGTTTCCCATGGAGTGAATGTATTTCCGTAAGCACCTGCCGCAAGAGTGGATGTCACGCGAACTGTGGGCTTCCCATATTTCTGCCTTATTTGTCTCTGCCAGTGCGCTGTTCATAAAAGTATCATTTCCATTCCTTTTTTATAAATTTTATTATTAAACATGACCCAACACGTAAATCCTGTTACACACACTCACTCACACACACACACACACACACAAACACTACCTTGCAAAAGTATTGAACCTCCTTGAAATGATCAGATTTTCCTGAATTAGTAATGATACAGACACACAGTCTTCCTGCAGTTCAGGTTGTCATCGACTTTTAAGACCGCGATCAGTTACGACTGACTGGTCGCAAGTCGTTTTGGTCGTAAGTCGGCCCTTTATTTTATATGCAACAATTATTTTTAGTATACTGTATAATACAATTAAATAATCTTTAGGTCATATTATTTAGTATTTTTTAGCCTTTTTTCACTATTTTCTTAGTTCATCATTGTTACACAAATGGACATGAATGTATACTGTACTGTGAGCACTGCGAACAGTAGCCTGAGCACGAGAGGAATGAATGGGCATCTCACGCTCCCAGCAGTCGGGGTTGGGGGGGGGAACAGTTATAAACTCACAATGTGGCCATATATCTATGGTCTCGCAACGGTCGTAAAGTTGATCAGTCATAAGTCAACGATGACCTGTATATTTATTGCAAACGCATAGTTTTTCATAGTAAATTTTCAAAATCAGCTATTTGTCAGCAAATCTTTTAGGGAAAACCAGAAACTGAAAATCCTGCCTGTGTGCATTTTAAACCCCTGAGCTCTGGAAACTGGAGACCAAGAGTAAAAAGACATTCACACTATTTACCAGTACGCCATTACTGAGGACACAGCTGCACATGTTATAAACCACCCACCCCCCAAACTGTCAGTGTGAAGGAAAGGAGTGGAAATGAAGACTCCAGCATTACAAGGCAGTGAGAGGTAAACTAATCAAATTGCACGCATTTAGAGTAGGGTACAAAAAAATCCAAGAGGTTATGCGTACTAGTTAAGCACTGCTGGATCAATACTGGGAAAGTGGAAGCTACACCAAACCTGTCATCCCTAAAATCAGCAATGATACAAAGAGGTGATGGAGGAGTGAAGCCAGAAATGAAGGAGCTTCAGAGTTCAGTGGCTGAGAGTCGAGTGAAGGTAAGCATGTGTAGAGTGAATGTTCTGAAGGGGACCAGTCAAAGTCCAGGTCTAAATCCCACTGAGAACCTGTGGCTTTGTCCACAAGCGGCATCCAACCAACTTGAAGGATCTGGAGCAAGTCTGCCATGAAGAATGGGCAAAGATCACTGATGAACACGGTAAAAAGCTGGCAGGTACATGTCCCCAAAATACCGGAGCTGTTATTGCAGAAAAAGAAGGTTAAACCAAATACTAATGTATTCGGGGTGAATACTTATGCAAGTAGCATTTTTCAGTTTTTGATTTTCTTTAAAAGATTTGTTAACAAATAATTGATCTTCACTTGAAAATTTACCGTAAGAGACTATTACTCGTGAGATACTAGAACTCGTGGCCATACGTGGAAATTAGCAGGAGAACATTTTAAACTGAATTTGAGAAAACACTTCTTTACACAACATGTAGTTAGAGTATGGAATAATCTTCCTGTTAGTGTAGCACAAGCTAAAACCATGGGTTCCTTTAAATCAGAGCTAGATAAGATTTTAACTCTGAGCTATTAGTTAAGTTCTTCCCAAACGAGCTTGATAGGCCGAATGGCCTCCTCTCGTTTGTAAATTTCTTATGTTCTATAGTAAATACTCAATACTTTAATACTTTTGCAAGGTCAATAATTTTGCAAGGCGTTGAATATGGTAGCACCTTATAAACATTTTAAATACCTGTTTGCATATAATAAGATATTTTCCATTACTGAAGGTAACTCTTAATTGAGGAAATATAGATATTATAAAAGGAAACACTTGAAAAAACATGCAGTTGTCACAAAGGGTTAAACGAAAGTCATTTTTATGACTTTCTGATGACTTCTTAAAAAAATGCAATGCTAACATTTTCACTTAGATGCCTGAAATTACTGCTTGAAGTGAAGACATCAGGAAAAGGAGAACAAGCTTGTGCTCTTCCTTCCTGACCTTCTCCATGTGTCATGCCCTGATCGTCCGCTCCTCTCGTGTGCCACGCCCCCTTATTAACCCCATGTGGATTCCCCATTTTTAACAGCTGTTCCCAATCGTTGTCAATTAGTCCATTGTATTTAGTCCGCGTTTCCATTTGATTCCCCAGTCCGGTCATTGTTATGTCAGCCCGAGTGTTGCTACTCCTTGTGTTGCAACTCCTTGTGTTGCTGCGTCCATTAAACTCCGTGTTTCCCCCCAAACTTCTGGCTTCCTGCGCCTTCACTGCGCTCCGTGCGCCGTTCGGCAAGACACCATACGGCTGATGTCAAACCGCTGGGGGCCTCACAATGTCACAGGTCTTGTATTAATATCTGAACTGAGTTTTATCAGTGACATAAAAGATAACAGAGCACGTAAGTATGCTTCTGTCATAACTGTACAAGTAGATAAGCACAGGTAGAGAGCTGATCCAAACATAGCAACTCTGAGGTACAGGGATGCGACACTGTAGCCAGCACTGTCATAAATTTTAAAATACATAACCATGTAAGTATAAAACAACATATTATTAATGTCTGATTGAATCCTGACCTGCTCCTTATTTGAGAAACAGCACATCCAGGTCCTTTGTAATTTTGGCAATATTATTATATTATTATAGTGATAACTGACTTGTTTTGTAGTCCTGTTTTTTGTTTTTTTGTTTGCAATATGGAGTTTTGATTGGCTTTCCCAGGTTGATGGTGCTGGTAGTTGGTAGATGCTTCCTTTATGCTGTGTTATGCTCAGCCTGGGGCTGCTTTGGCACGGTGTGTGTCTCTGTGCTTTAGGAGAAGTGTGTCAAGAATAATGGTGTAATGGTTCTGAAACTCGGACCACAAACCGCGATACAAACGTTCACAATCTCTTGACACGGTTCCGGAAGACTGCACCCTGACACCCCCCCCCCCACCCCCCAATCTGCAACCAACCAGTTGAGTATAAACAGCCACATTCACAGAGAACTAAACTGGTTTGTCAAAACCAAACCTTGGTCTGGATTTGTACTTTCTGGACCTGAACTTTCCACCTCTGCCCACCACCACTGCAGGTGCTTCCTGTTGAGCTCTCATCACATTACTCATGTTTCAAGACTCATTTCCATCCATCCATCCATTACCTACCGATTGTCCGTGGTTCGGGTCGCGGGGGTAGCAGCTTCAGTAGAGGCACCCAGCCCTCCCTCTCCCCAGCTACCTCTACCAGCCCCTCGGGGG